TTGACTTATAATCAAAACCCAGACTCTACTCTTTATTTGCTTGCTTTGACAGAACGTACTGTACGTCTCAGTGAGTTTGTTTGAGCTTTGTTTGTTTAGTTGGTAAGTCTATGGGAGAAATTCATTCAACAGTTCAGCTAAATTCACGGAAATAGCACTACAGTATATTTAGGTTGTTAGACATATTGTGCTCAGCATATTTAAATACTGTGAAAAGATATATACTGTGACTTGATACCCCACAAAATGACTGTTTACTACTATTGGATAATACTATATAACTACATAGATAGATAGATGGATATACAGTGGACACACACACACACATATATACACATTTATATATATATATATATATATATATATATATATATATATATATATATATATATATATATATATATATATATATATATATATATATATATATATATATATATATATATGTATATATATATATGTATATATATATATATATATATATATATATATATATATATATATATATAAACAGTACATGATGGATGGATGGATGGTTTCTGGGAAAAAAATAAAACATATATTGAACATAATACACAGGAGCAGGCAGATGATGACTAGATTTTCATTTAAGGGCCCTTATCGTTATTAATATTCTGCCATTCTATAAAATACAAGAAACAGACGCAGAGTTGAATAGTTCAAGAGAGTTCAGCAGCTCTTCATAGCTCCGTCATTTCGATTCAGTCTCATTTGTTGTGCGTTGTTTGTTCTGACTGCCACAATGATTGCAAATGACTCTGACACGACATAGTGACCTTTTTCATTGTGTGTGTTTTGTGTGTCCCCGTCCCTCCTCTTCCTCCAGGCGCAGATGATGGGGATGATGACCGAGTACTATCACTACATCTTCACCACTCTGGTAATGTACCGCAATACTCACAGCAAATTGAATGTCATTTGTTTTTGCGCCGCTTCCACTTTATTTTTTTGATGAATGGCTTTTAATTGCAGATGAGCTTTGGATCCAGTCTGCGAAATCAATTTCACTCGACAAAACAGCCTTAATGGAGTTTCCGCCACCCCAGTGTAAACATTAGAGGCCTTCCCTCAAGCTCAAATCAACAAAACGTCTTTGAAAAGCACTTACAAAGGCAACAAAGTGTGTCACCTAGGGATTTAGATGCTGATAAAGTTGAAATTGATGCTCAGGATGTTTACAGACATTATTGTGTGTACTCTATTGTAGTATTTATCAGTATTTTGAATTAGCTTCCATTTTTTATGTTTTACATTTTAGATTTTATGTCCACCGGACTAGTCTTTTCTATATTTTTATTGGCCACAAATTTTGTTTGTTTGTTCATTCATTTGTTTAATCTGTTCAATTAATGTGTTCATTCGTTCATTCCCTTAGTTGTGTGTTTATTTATTTATTTTATTTATTTAGCTAGTTAGTTGGGACTAGAGCTTTTCTACATTTCCCAATTTTGCTGCTAAGAAATGTTTGTTCGTTCGTTCACTCCTTTGTTCGTTCATTCATTTGTTTATTGTTTGTTGATTTGTTCATTTCAGTTGTTTGTTTCTTCAATAATTCGATTGTTTGATAGAGCGTTCATTCATTAATTTGTTTGTTCATTCGTGCTTTCATTAGCTTATTTATTTGTTTGTTTGTTCATTCATTCATTTGTTTGTTAATTTGTTTGCCCATCAGCTTATTCATTTATTCGTTCATTCATTTGTTTGTTTGTAAATTCGTGCTTTCATTAGCTTATTCATTTGTTCGTTTGTTCATTCATTTGTTTGTTAATTTGTTTGTCCATCAGCTTATTCATTTATTCATTTGTTTGTTTGTAAATTCGTGCTTTCATTAGCTTATTCATTTGTTCATTTGTTCATTCATTCATTTGTTTGTTAATTTGTTTGCCCATCAGCTTATTCATTTATTCATTCATTCATTTGTTTGTTTGTTCATTCGTGCTTTCATTAGCTTATTCATTTGTTTGTTTGTTCATTCATTCATTTGTTTGTTAATTTGTTTGCCCATCAGCTTATTCATTTATTCGTTTTTTGTTTGTAAATTCGTGCTTTCATTAGCTTATTCATTTGTTCGTTTGTTCATTCATTCATTTGTTTGTTAATTTGTTTGTCCATCAGCTTATTCATTTATTCATTTGTTTGTTTGTAAATTCGTGCTTTCATTAGCTTATTCATTTGTTCGTTTGTTCATTCATTCATTTGTTTGTTAATTTGTTTGCCCATCAGCTTATTCATTTATTCGTTCATTCATTTGTTTGTTTGTAAATTTGTGCTTTCATTAGCTTATTCATTTGTTTGTTTGTTCATTTATTTGTTTGTTAATTTGTTTGTCCATCAGCTTATTTATTTATTCATTCATTCATTTGTTTGTTTGTTCATTCGTGCTTTCATTAGCTTATTCATTTGTTCGTTTGTTCATTCATTTGTTCGTTAATTTGTTTGTCCATCAGCTTATTCATTTATTCCTTTCATTCATTTGTTACTTTATTCGTTCGTTTGTTTAATCGTTCATTCATTCATTTGTTTTTTGTACGTTCGTTCATTTGATTGTCTGTTTGTTCATTCATTCATTTGTTCATTTATTCATTCATTTGTGTACTACAGTTAAAGTATAAATTAAGGCATGGCAGGTTTATTTATATAGCACATTTCATACACAGGTAATTTAAAGTGCTTCACATAAACAGGAGTATGAGGAACAAGTATGTACAAGTATGTAAGGTTTTTCACTTGGGCATTTGTAGCTCCGCCCACTTTTAAAAAGAGCACAACTTCATTTGAATTTAAAGCGACAGTCAACAAAATGGCCCAAATTGGATCAAAGCCTGAAAGTCGGCGTTTTCAAGAGTGTTTTGTGGGGTATTTTGAGCTGAAGCTTTACATACATACTCTAGGAACATCTGAGACTTATTTTACATCTTGTAAATAAAGAGTAAAAGGTCCCCTTTAATGCTGAGCACTGTTATATAAAATGAATCCTCCCAAAATAGCTAGTAAGACTGAAGTTGTTATTTGCTGAAATCACGTGCTTCTGGCAGGTTTAATGTCAAACCATATAAATGTTAGCATTTATACTTAGCTATTTATTAATTAGGTTTTGCAACAGAGGCTTTTGAGTGGCCTTGTAATGCACCTTACATGTCAAGCTTCTGAGTTATGACCAGGGTTTACTGATCCTTGCTTAAGGCTTGATTGCTACCCAGCACAATATCAAAACTAATCAACTGTGTGCTTTTCATTAGATTATTACAATCTTGTAGCCGATGTGAATTGATCTGTGATAGTTTCACACATTTATCACTCATTATGATAAATAGACCATGGCAGTCACCCAGAGGAGAGACAGTACACAAGCTGGGTTTCACCGCAAGACGGTGCAAATAAATGAACGTCACGCATTGTCTGACTATGCATTGCGATCTAGCCTGTTGGTTAAAAGGGATTCTAATACAGTTTTTCTCATTAGCTTTGGTGCGTTTCCCACACCACCAGTGCATTTCTGCACAACAGTTAATGCATTTCTCAAAACAATTAGTACAAACTGCAAAACCAAGCTGATAACCTGCAAAAGTGCGTCACATGCTCAAAATGGATAGTTCATTCCTCAAAAGCAAGCATTGATGTCAATTAAAGTGTCCGTGTCATCAAAATGAAAAGTCCTAAACCCATTGTTTATGAACACGATAGTCAAATGGCTTAGTCATGTTTTCATTAGGGCAGTTTACTCTGGACATTTTCAATGCAGAAAAGTCAGATGTTGGTGACACTTCCTGAAAATGCTCAAGACAGCACTAGATACTATTGGCACAGCCATTTAAAAACTACAGTAAAGTTAGACATCACTGCATTTAGTGAAGTATCTGAGTACAAGACACTGAATATGTATGTTTCACATGTTTACTGCATTTGCTCGTTGTAGTTCTAATTTATTCACAGCATTGTGCAAAAGAATAAACACACCCTTATTTACAACAAGCATAAGCTTCCTTTGGGTAAAGCTGGGCACAACTGTACACAATATTGCAGAACTTATTGGAACTGAACCTACAACACACACAGGTCTGTAAATCCTTTATGAAACTGTTCAATTTAGAAGACATTTTCAGAAAAATAAAAATGTAATTTTTTTTTATAAAATTTGCTAGACAGATTTTGACAACTATTCATTCATTCATTCATTTTCTTGTCGGCTTAGTCCCTTTATTACAGTTTTTCTCAGTCACTTTGGTGCGTTTCTCACAAGACTATTTACATTTGCACAACAGCTAATGCATTTCTCAAAACAATTAGTACAAACTGCAAAACCAAGTTGATAACCTGCAAAAGTGCGTCACATGCTCAAAATGGATAGTTCATTCCTCAAAAGCAAGCATTGATGTCAATCAAAGTGTCCGTGTCATCAAAATGAAAAGTCCTGAACCCATTGTTTATGAACACGATAGTCAAATGGATTAGTCATGTTTTCATTAGGACAGTTTACTCTGGACATTTTCAATGCAGAAAAGTCAGATGTTGGTGACACTTCCTGAAAATGCTCAAGACAGCACTAGACACTATTGGCACAGCCATTTAAAAACTACAGCAAAGTTAGACATCACTGCATTTAGTGAAGTATCTGAGTACAAGACACTGAATATGTATGTTTCACATGTTTACTGCATTTGCTCGTTGTAGTTCTAATTTATTCACAGCATTGTGCAAAAGAATAAACACACCCTTATTTACAACAAGCATAAGCTTCCTTTGGGTAAAGCTGGGCACAACTGTACACAATATTGCAGAACTTATTGGAACTGAACCTACAACACACACAGGTCTGTAAATCATTCATGAAACTGTTCAAATTAGAAGACATTTTCAGAAAAATAAAAATTTATTTTATTTTTTTTTATAAAATTTGCTAGACAGATTTTGACAACTATTCATTCATTCATTCATTTTCTTGTCGGCTTAGTCCCTTTATTACAGTTTTTCTCAGTCGCTTTGGTGCGTTTCTCACAAGACTATTTACATTTGCACAACAGTTAATGCATTTCTCAAAACAATTAGTACAAACTGCAAAACCAAGTTGATAACCTGCAAAAGTGCGTCACATGCTCAAAATGGAGAGTTCATTCCTTAAAAGCAAGCATTGATGTCAATCAAAGTGTCCGTGTCATCAAAATGAAAAGTCCTGACACAATTGTTTATGAACACGATAGTCAAATGTCTTTGTCATGTTTTCATTATAACAGTTTACTCTACATTTATTCAATGCAAAAAAGTCAGTTGGAGATGCTTCCTGACAAATGCTCAAGACAGCACTTTATACTATTAGTACAGCCATTTGAAAACTACAGTAAAGTTAGACATCACTGCATTTAGTGAAGTATCTGAGTACAAGACACTGAATATGTATGTTTCACATTTTTACTGCATTTGCTCGTTGCAATTCGAATGTATTTACAGCATTGTGCAAAAGAATAAATACACCTTTATTTACAACAAACACAACCTTCCTTTGGGTAGAGTTGTGCACAACTGTAAACAATATTGCAGAACATATTAGAACTGAACCTACAACATACATAGGTCTGTAAATCATTCATCAAATTGTTCAATTTTTAAGACATTTTCAGGAAAAATAAAGATTACAATTTTTTCATAAAATTTGCTAGACAGATTTTGACAACTAGTTCAACATTTTTGTATGTAATGACTCAAGTAATGAAATGAGGACTATTAGTTTAATAAGGAATGACTATTCAGCATTTACAAGTTTAGTTAATTTTGATATAAATGTTATAAATAGCAGAGAGTTGTATGAAAGCAATTGATGCATGTCCAAAAGCATTTGCAATTTGCTAAAAGGAATGAGAAACTGCTACTAGGATGTGCACAAATGACTAATTGTTTTGTGAAATGCATGACCTGTTGTGCAAATGTAAATATTGTTGTGAGAAATGCACCAAAGCGACTGAAAAAAACTGTAATCTGGGGTCGCCACAGCGGAATGAACCGCCAACTTATCCAGCAAGTTTTTACGCAGCGGATGCACTTCCAGCCGCAACCCATCTCTGGGAAACATCCACACATACACTCATACACTACGGACACTTTAGCCTACCCAATTCAGCTGTACCACATGTCTTTGGACTGTGGGGGAAACCGGAGCACCCGGAGGAAACCCACGCGAACACAGGGAGAACATGCAAACTCCACACAGAAACGCCAACTGAGCCGAGGATCGAACCAGCATCCCAGCGACCTTCTTGCTGTGAGGCGAACGTGCTACCCACTGCGCCACTGCGTCGCCTAGGTCTATTAATTTTGATATTGAGGACTATTAGTTTTATATGCAAGGACTATTCAGCATTTACAAGTTTAGTTAAATTTGACTGACATGCCATAAGCAGATGATAATGTTATAAATAGCAGAGAGTTGTATGAAAGCAATTGATGAATGTCCAAAAGCATTTGCAATTTGTTGGAAGGAATGAGAAACTGCTACTAGGATGTGCACAGATGACTAATTGTTTAGAGAAATGCATTAACTGTTGTGCAAATGTAAATAGTGTAGTGAGAAATGCATCAAAGCGACTCAGAAAAACTGTAAAGAATGTTATGTTTATAAAGACATAAAAACATAAATATATTAATATTATTGTTTGAACCCTACTTTATATTTTCTAAGTCTATCTGATGACAAGTTTCCACTGAGTAGTACATTACGGCTCACCTTAATCAGGCTTGCGTTTCCACTACCAAATCGTACCCGTACCAATGGAACCATTTTGGTGGGCATGGTGTCCAACAGAAAGTTTCAGTCGATGTCATTCTCGCTCGATGAAATGTTAAAGAAAAGCTGTACTGGTCGAACAGGGTTTTTATTTTTTAATAAATTTGCAACAATTTCGAAAACTCTTTTTTCACATTGTCATTATGGGGTATTGTGTGTAGAATGTTGAGGAAATAAATGGATTTAATCCGTTTTGGAATAAGGCTGTAACATAAATAATGTGGAAAATGTGAAGCGCCATCAATACTTTCCAGATGCACTGTAATGAAATGAGTAATGGCAATATTTAATGACGTCCTTTATCGGCCCAACTAAAATTCTGCCACATTCAACACATTTGATCATTTATCATCGCTTATGATCTACTGATACAGTAAAAGACAGATGAAATCATAATAAATCTGACATCTAAGAAGAAATCATTTATGTTATAGTTCCAAAAGGGCTTTGTCTCAGGGCAAACCTTTATTTTTGTGCTCCTCTTCTGTCAGTTCCAGCCCCACAGGGCGTTAATGAAATACTCTATTATGTTCTACCACATTTCTTCGCCGCCCCCACCTTCTCAACATGTTTGGCAATATGTAGGACGGTATATATAAAAAAAAAAACAGCGACTGTTCTCAGAATAACACTCCAGACAATAGCATGCGTAGTGTGGGTGTGTGTTGGTATTGTTCTAGAGCGTTAATTAGCCTCAGCACATTACGCCGAGTTCTTTCAATGAGCGCGGCCTTGCTCATTTTGCCATTCATTTTCAGATTTACAGACCCCCCCCCCCCCACCCCCTCGTTAGATGCCTTTCACTTTGACCTCAGACGTAAAGATCTCGATTAATTTACGCTTAATCTTAATGATATTTTCCAGTCCGGCAGAGTATTTCATCCCACATCATTGCATTGAGAATGTGAAATCCAGCTTCTTTTTTTTTTCATCCCGAATCCACACTGAATGCCCAGACATAGTGTTGCATTTCAGTGTCAGGTCGGCATTCAGAGCGGTGTGAAGTGTTTACGGTTCAATTCGCTGGATGGGAGCAATGAAGACAGGATTACAGAGGAAATAACTGTTTCAATCAGCTATTGTGCCGATGACTCCTGGCTCACTGTCTATGATATCATACATGCTGGCACAGAGGTGTACGTCCTACGATGCTTCATCTGGCTGTACCCAGGCGGCCTGGAAAGCATGGTATTATCCTTAATCTCTTTTATTTTTTATCTTCTTCCCCCCCCTCACTCTATCTCCTGCTTTTATTAGGGGACAAAGAGACAAGAAGCCTCTCACCTAGCGACAATGAAGCCCGATTCAGGCCGCTTATATGAGATCTTTTCTCTCTCTTGTTCTTCCTCCAGGATCTCATGGCCATAAACCTGGAGCCGTACCGCTTCTGTGGCGTCAATATGACCGGCTTTCGCATCCTAAACGTGGACAATCCTCAGGTCGCCTCCATTGTGGAGAAGTGGTCCCTCGAGAGGCAGATCCCGCCAAAACCAGACTCCGGTCTCCTAGAAGGGATCATGACGGTATGCTTCCATTTTCTCCCTGAGATTTAAAAGAGAGGCTTTTATTATGTTTAACTTTCACTGTTTACAGTCAAATCTGAAGCTATAATTATTCAGTTAATCCTTTGGTCTTAATAAAAAGATATTTTGTTTTTGTAATATATTCCAAGACTCGTATTTTCTGCTTATAACAGTAAAAATATTGATAACACTTTTTTTTTTTGATGGTCCATTTGTGTATTAGTAGTCTGTCTGCTTAATATCTGTTGATACTGCTCCTTCAACAGGCATTAAACTGACTATAAGAAACTCTGCAAGTACATGTCAACTTACACTAACCCCAAACCTAACAGTCTACTTATAATCTATTGAGAATTAGTTGGCATGTAGATGCAATGTAACTTAAATTCAACAAACGGGCCATCAGAATAAAGTGTGACCAAAATAATAATCATCAACATGGTCTGGAGCAATGTTTCTCAACCACGTTACTGGAGGACCATCAAGACAGCATGTTTGTATGTATCCTTTGTCTGTCACACCCATTACAGGTCTTTCAGTCTTTGCTAATGAGCTGATAACCTGAATCAGGTGTGTTTGGTTAGGGAGACAAGAAACATGTGTAGAGCTTGTGGTCCTCCTGGAACGTGGTTGAGAAACACTGGTCTAGAGCAGTGTTTCTGAACCATGTTCCTGGAGGACCACAAATTCTGCACTTTTTCCATGTCTCCTTAACCCTTGTGGACTGTTCAAATTGATTATCCTTTTGTTATGTTCGGGATGAAAACATGCACTGAATTAAACTGATGTATGTGCATCGGTTTTTTCGATAAATAGTAATTACGCAGATTTCTGCAGATTTTTAGCCCATTATTAATTCTGTTTATTTACTTGAGTAAATGTATAAATCTGAATTTATTCAGTTTTTATTCAGTAATTTATTACTTTTTATTTTATATATTAAGGTTTTATTTATGATACTCCGCTGGATACTCCCAAAATAATTCCGCAGAAATCTGCAGATTCTTACTAAAATTCTCCGCAGAAATAGCAGAAAACATCCGCAGATTCCGTCTGGCCCTAGTCATGGGCCGGGATAAGATTCTAATGGTACGATAATCTTGGATAAAAAGATCATGGTTTTACGGTGTTATGGTATTGTGATTACTGCTCTAAAATATATTATTTTTAAATGTCTGTGTAAAAAAAAAACTTTTTTTCCCCTTTGAAAACAATATATATATATTTTTTATATACATTTACAATATTTTGGAGCAGTAAACGGTTAACGTCAGGCTAAACAATTCAAATGAGTCATTGACTTCTGCTGTAATCATTAGTTTCAAAAACACCAATTTCTTTACAATAAAAAGAAATGCATCTTTGTATATATATTTTTTTCTGCTGGAGATATCATTGTTGTAAAAAGACAACAACAAAAATAAATAAAATAAAAATAAATAAATCAAAAAATCGTACACATACATTAGTAACGATATTACAGAAAATGTTGGCGGTTTTAAAACCTCGACTTAAACAGTAAACCTTGAAAACGGTTGTCGTTCCATGCCTATTGCCCACAGTGTATCGTAAAAGCATTTTCTCAGATTGTGTCAAAAATCATTCTGCTAACCAATTTAAGACTCAAAATCACCCCAGAGTGGATGAAAACACCCCCAGTAGTACACCTGAATCAGATCATCAGCTCATTAGCAGAGACTGAAAGAGTAATGTGTGTGGCAGACAAAGGTGGCATCCAGAACATGCAATACTGGTCTTCCTCCAAGAACGTGGTTGAGAAACACTGGTCTAGAGAAGTATGGTGATACTTAAATGCTAATTTTATTTGCTAGGTAATAGAAGTAATAGCAGTTCAGATCTAATAATCCCAAATGGCTCGCCTTATAGCCTGCCATTGTTGAATGTTATAATATCATAAAAACTGGTTTCGACTGTATGGCTTCTATGATTATATATTAATTCATTTCACAGTAGTTCAAACACTCCTACGTCGTGCAGTAGAGTTTCTGAAAATACGCTTTCATTGCTTCTGCTAAATGGACTGCTTTATTCCTTTTATGCGAGATTGAAAACCACAGAACATGCACCTTAGGTGGTATTATTGCACCTGGAACCGCTAACAAGACTGATGTCAGGCATATAGTTCCTGCCACATTCATCTGTGTGTTGAATGTTTGAATACAGTCCGTTCTAACAAATCAGCTTGTCCAGTGTTGACTGAAAATACTTCTCCAACACTCTGCTGGCTTAATACCCACGGCTCTCATATCACAGCAACCTTTTGCGTAGTTGCAAGGCGCCAATGGCAAGGTCGATATAAAGGACGTCTGAATGAATGTGTTATCCTTCTTCCTGCGGACATGCTCGATCTAGAGCAGCCAACATTGCCTGAACAATGTACAAACACTGAGCCCTCAACCCTTCAGGAGACTGATACTGTAGGATGTGTTAGAGAGTGGGCAAGTGGATGGTGTAACATTTTCTTACTTTAAATTCACTGTCCGAAATCTTTGCACCATTAAAGAGTGTACTATTCGAGGGTGTAATGATATGTCGTCATATGTAGTGGATGTTTTACCATCAATCAATTCCACATTAGTGAGTGTACAAACAATGCACACTAAACAATTAGAGAGTAGTTTAAACCAGCAAAGTATATGATGTTATGAAAGATTTTCTTTGTCGATAGAGTAGTATGCCAACACCAGACCCTACAGCAGGGAGAAAAGCAGATTTGGGAGGACCACTGTCCTGCTGATTTTAGCTCCAGTCATCAATCAGGATTTTTCAAGCCCTCCATGAGACTTTAGTTAGATTTTCTGGGTGTGTTTGTGAAGGGATAAAGCAAATATCTGCAGGACACTGGTCCTCCAAGACCTCCACCCTTCTTTCTAAAGCAAGAGTGGACAACTCTCATCACAGTGGGATACTATTCTTCAGGTTTAATCCTTAATTAACAACAACTGTAATTTTAAAGCGATCTAAAGACATAGGCTGCGTCCAAAATTGCATACTTCCATACTATATAGTACGCTAAAATCAGTATGCGAGCCGAGTGATATGACCAAATTCATAAAATTTGAAAAACAGTATGCGAGTACCCGGATGACTTACTACTTCCGGCGAGATTCTGAAGAGTGCATCTGATGCACACTGCGCTATTCCATGATGCCCTGCGAGATTAATTCATGAATGAGAGTGAAGCGACCAAACTGACACGGGTAGGTCAAGTGATCATGATAAAATGGCAGATGTAGTACATCCGAGTTCCATTCATACTGCTCACATTCACACTGTGTAGTATATACTTTCTAATGGTCGAGTAGTAATTTTAAATTCAAATGCGGTACCTACCGAATTGTAGGTGGTTTCGGATGCAGCCATAGGCTTATCACCTCTATACCCTTTAAAAGTGCACTATTCGAGGGAAGTCATTTGTAGTGATGTCTGAAACCATAGTGGATGTTCTAATGTGCACTCAGTCAATCCCACAATGCACCACAACAAGTGTACAATGTGCACTAAACAGTTGGTGAGTAGTTTTAATCAGCCAAGTATGTCATATGTGTTGAACTTTTTGAAAGATTTTCTTTGCAGATATAGTAGTATGCCAACATCAGAACTTACAGCAGGGAGAAAAGCAAATCTGGGAGGACCACTGTCCTGCTGAGTTCAGCTCCAGTCATTAATCAGGATTTTTCAAGTCCTCCATAAGTCTTTAGTTCAAAATTCTGCAGGACACTGGTCCTCCAAGACCTCCATCTCTGTTTCTAAAGCAAGAGTGGGCAACTCTGATCACAATGGGATACTATCCTTCAAATTTTATCCTTAAAAAACAACACCTGTCTGTAATTTTAACGCAATCTTAAGACATAGGTTGCATCCAAAAATTGCATACTTCCATTTTATTTATTAAGCTAAAATCAGTATGCGAGTCGAGTAGTGTGGCCAAATTCATAGGATTGGAAAAACAGTATCCGGATGACTTACTACTTCCGGTGAGATTCTGAAGTGGTCATCTGATGCACGCTGCGCTATCCCATGCTTCCCCATGAGAGAATTTATAAATGGGAATAAAGTGGCTCAACTGACACATCCCAGTTCCATTTATATTGCTCACATTTATACTGTATAGAGCGTACTTTTCTAATGGCAGAGTTGTAAATTTAGGGTGCTTTCACACCTGTGAGTCGATTCAGTTGTTCCGAAACAGAGATTAAAATTGTTACATTGTTGCTCTTTGCTCTTGGAGCGGTTCGCTTTCACACTGCAAAGTTTCTAATCGGACCAAAAGAGCTAAAACAAGTCACGTGCGAGTAAACTCTCCTTAAATTGGTCAGAGTGTCAGGGTTTATTTTGCAGCGTACCGTTCAGCTGTCAGGAGAGGTGGTGGTTTGGTGATGATTGACAGGGTGCGCGCGCGTGACGTGTCTGAGGAGAGACACGGTAGGGAGGGGTGAGAAGGGTGCGCGACGATGCCTATTTGAGGACTGGGAGAGAGACGCGAGATTACCGAGAGATCATCACTCGTTTGCGGGCATCCGGAGACTCGCGAAACTTCCCGCCCTACTCCTAATTCTCTCTTCATATAGCCGTAAGCCTATTACATATCCATAAAACACTGTGATATAACCGCGCTCGGATCAGATCGCTTTCTCACTGCAATCGAACCGCTCCAGGGTTCGTTTCAATCGAGCCGAGACCACCTCATTCAAGCGATCTTGGAGCGATTACTTTGCCTCGGAACAGTGCGTGATTGCCCTGTTCACATATGCCAATCGAACCGCGCTAACTGGGCAAACGAGATACGTTCCGAAACAAAAGTGTAGGTGTGAAAGCACCCTTAAACTCAAATGCAGTGCCTACTGAGTAGTAGGCAGTTTCGGATGCAGCCCTAGGCTATATCACCTCTATACTCTTAAGAAGTGCACTATTTGAGGAAAGTCATTAGTATCTGAAACCAAATTGGACGTTCGGAAGTACATTCAATCAATCCCACA